AAAGGGCAAAATCTCATTTGGGAAATACTGCTTACTGTCCTAGTGATGTCTGTACCAGAAAGAGACACCAAAACTGCTGTTTCACACACTAAAAGTCATGGCAGAAGGCTACTATGAGGAGAAGAAAAATTATGCACCTTTTCTACTGACAGTGTACCTTCTTTAACCCTTCAAAACAGTCCAGGAGGGACAGCAGCACTTTTTCTAAATACACTTGAGATGTAAAGGCTAGGAAGGGAGGAGAATAATGTGATCAAGTAGATATACATTGGTCATGATACATTAATTCAGGTTGCTGATAAAAAAGAAAATTTGTGGCTGTTAGGATAGCAAGGTTGTGAAGAAGCCTTCTGGGGAGAGCCCTGGCGGCAGGATCCTACTTATTTGCAACATACGCTTTGATGGGAGGGGCTGTGTGACAGGACAGTAATGATCGAGGAATTAGAAATTCAAGCTTCAGAGACACAAGACTGCTGCTATCCAGTTTTGTGGTATACCTGAGAGACACTTGAGAAGAAGCCTGTCAGAGTTTTGCAGGCTGCTCTGTATTCATTTATTTAACTAAAGTCTTTGTTCAGGCCTTGTGCTTGCATTTTTGTCTCCCCTCTTGCCGTATGGTCTGGCCCTGGGTCAACTTCTGTTCCCACACTGCTCTGAGGCACTGAGGACAGGTGACAGGGGCAGATGTGATCTGAGGGGTGTCACCAAACCCCAGCAATGCCACAGGCTGATACAGTTGGCTCAAGCAATCGTATGTTATACAGATCAGAAGATAATTCTCACTGAGATAGATGGAAGGGGATCACTGTCAGCTCCTGTTGTGTATCAGGTGTGACTGACTTCCTAAGATCTCTCAGGAATTTTTGCAAACATAATTTCTCTTTAAGGGCTTAGGACACTGTTGGTACCCTTGATATCTCCTCCTCTTTTCCACTAGAAGACTGGAATTTTTATGGGGTTTGGTGCCTCACATAGAAGGGGCTAAAGTGTTAATGAGTGTTGGGGTTTTCCATGTGGCCTGAGGAGGTCTGAGGTTCTTATAGCTCCTCCTGCCCTTAACACCTGCTATATGACTTCCTGCAAGAGTGGAGGGCTTGGGCTTAGCAGCCTATGTTGCTTCTCCCAATCCTCCATGCCATGCTCTCTTTAAATAGCAAAACATGACACAAAATATCCAGAAGATTTTAAACAGAAACTAGGCCACTGGACTTTACACTGAAACACAGCCTCTTCGGTTCTGCCCCATCTGTGCCAGAAGTGGAGGAAACTGATTTGTGACTTATGAACCTCTCTGTTCATTTGGGGTTAAGTTGGACTTAAAGGAAGATGGAAACCTCACTAATAGACCCAGTCTTTTGACAGATCCTTGCGCAGTTTGTACAAGTGGAGGAAAGGAGTCCTTATTTTCTCTGCTGTTCCTTGTGCAATTGCATAAAGGCAAGTACATTATACAATAGCTAAACAGGGATTACACAACTGAGCTCCACAAACCTAAATCAGAAACAGAGTCTCCATCCTGCACTGGACAAACAAAAAAATGTGGAAGGGTGAAATTCTGGTCCTAATGAAGTTAATGGCAAAGCTCTTGCTTACTCCAGTGAGATCACAGTTTCATCCAAAATCTTGGCTCAAGCCTGTAGTTGGCTGACCATGCTGGATATTTAAAGCATATCCCTGTTAAGTTTTTCCAAGTACTGGGATAAGATGACCTTCCTTCTTTTTTTTTTTTTTTTTTTTTTTTAAGCTTTTTGCTTATGATGAAGAAATGCAGAAAAGTATTTTAAGACCAAGTACTGAGCAACCACTTGCAAACCTGAATTGGAAGCCTAAAAAGGGCCTGATATACTATCTCTGACTGCAAGAACAAATATTAGCAAAGTAGTTGTTCCCATGCTTTAGTGTCAATACTTTAAGCCACTGAAAGCTGCTGCTGAGTCACACTACTTGGGTATCAGAGGGAAAGATGGGAAACCCTGACCTGTGGGGGTTGGGAGTCCAAACAAGAAAAATCAGGCATCAACAAAACAAATAAAAGCCCTTAATGAATGTGAGACCCAAGCTCTGCAAGTAAATAACTTCGTGAAATGATCCACTGTGATAGAAGGACTGCAGTGCAGCCATGTCGCTGGAGCTGTTTGGCACACAGACTGAACTAATTACTTGACAGTGTTTTTAGTTTGGCCTGGGGTGGACAGCAGTGCTGGGCAAGAAAAGCCACTGCAGTTTCTTCATGCCCCCAGGCTCATCTGGCCTGACTATTGAAAACTATTGCTGTTACACTGAACACTAGCATGTACACCAGGGCTCCCCCCACCCACAAGATTCCTGCCTGATGAAAAATAAAGGAAAAAAAGAACTGAGGAGAAAAATGAAAGCTTGTGCAACCAGGGCCACACATAACATGTATTGCCAGCCCAAGGGTTATTTCTCTCCCACTCTTCCCTGAAGCATCTCTTAACAACTGAGCCGATTCAATGCAGAATGTCAGTAACAATCTAACAGTGAACAAGGACTGGGGACCATCCTTATCTTACAGAAGCAAGCTATAAATAATTATCTTGGGCAAATCTAACACCCTAACAGGGTGGTAGGATCCCCAAAAAATTATTCCAGTGTATTAATAAACACAAATGCTGAACCATTTCTTGCAGAGCTTTTTGGAGCTATGTAAATCCTTCCAACAGGTATCAGATAAAGCTGTCAAGGTTAGGCAAGAATTGCTTATATGTACGTGATTAAGCCTTAGCAGTTAAAAAGACGTAGCCTGCGATAAACAATTAGGTATGGTAGGTCAGTGCCATCCCAATGTCATCGCTGACAGTTTCATTACTTAGGCCTGCCATGGATATAATCCTCCAGAAAATCATCTAGAAAGTCATATCATAGCCTTGACTGTTTCATGACCAGCTTCTGTGTCTTTTACTAACACCTCTCTACACTTACCTTTCCTGTCTTATTCATTCCCTCTCTCACATCCATCATTGCACTCTCTTCACACTACTCCCTGTTTCTTCTCCTTTGTTACACCATGGACCCCACAGATACTCTCTTGGCCTCAAAAAAGTGATGAAAAGGGAGAGAAGAAAGAAAGAAAAGAGTGATTCTCTATATGAGCCAGTGAGAAATGAGGTCCTTTGAGAGGTACCCAAGGACTATCCAGGTTACCCAGAATTTCCTTTGGTGAACCCCTGCTTTCTCCGAGTCATGAGTCTTGTTCTAAATCTGTGCTTCATGGGGTAGAGGTTTTGCTTGAGTGCTCATGTGCAAGACTCAAGGATTAAACCCAGAGGTACATGAGCAGGGAAAGTGACACCAGAGTGAGTACACTATCACATGCCTGTGCCAGGTCTCAGTTGTCCCCAGGAAGCCCGTAGGATTTTCCAAAAATAAGCAGAGCATTTATTGTTCAAAAATGCTACCTCTGACTGTCAAGGCCTTTGCAAACACTTACTGTTAAGCATGGACATTGATTCTTAAGTGTAATGAGAACATGGTTAAAAAATCTAGTCTCACTGAAGTACAGAACAGAGACGTGCCTCCAGTCCCAACAAGTATTACTGATACTTCAGGTGCAAATCAAGAAACCCTGGCCTTTGCTGCTCACTGGCGTCTTCACAAACACAAATAGAGGCAGTGATTACCATTCTGTGTTTTTTTCCAACTTATGAAGTGCAGTCACTTGTTTTACATTGACCAAATAGCTTGAAGTGCCAAGTTTCCAAAATAACAAAATATAAGAGAAATCTAGCTCATACGTTTACTAAATACTATGTTTGCCTTTTGAAAGAAAAGACAAAGAACAGAGGAGACTGTTACTTCTCAGCTGTTAGGTAAAACAACAATTCTTGTGTGTAGCTTCCTCTGCTCTGCCCAGCCTCAGCAGGACGTAGACACAATCTCTTTCCGGGCATCCCACAAACACTGATGCTGAGGTGACACTCTCCTTTAAGGACACAGTCCAAAATGGGTGGCTAAGGAGGAAGTCTTTATTTTATCTATAAGAAATTCACTGTCAATAAGTCATGTGAAAGGCAGATACAGAAAATGTGCTTGAAAATGCTGAGTGGCTTATCTTACAGGGTAAACTCTAGGGTTTATGAACTAACAGCTTGGCCACAAACACCTGATACCTTCAGTTCCAATCATGAAATTACAAATGTGGCAGCAAACAGCAAATGCTGTCAGCTACGTCACTTGCCACATAGTTACAAAGACAACATCAACAACAGTAATTAATGTACAGAGTCCTGTTTATCCTAGTGATCCTAGAAGCCCTTTGCAAACTTCAGAGACCATTTTATGGAGACCTAGCTCAGGGAAACCAGCCTGGGTCAGAATGAACAAGCACAATGGGCTACTCTTACCCACCACAAAAGAACTTTTCATTCATAAGCAGAAGGACTAAAGACCTGGTTTAAGGTAGGAAAAACTTACTGACAGCCTTTCAGGTGCTGACTGTATACAGTGCCTCACCCAAGTTCGTAACAATTTCTCAACTAATCTTTTCCTGAATAAAATAACTGGTCCAGTGCTGCTGTCCAGCACTTACACTTCCTCTAGTAAACTGAAACATCATATAATACCCAAAAGCTACAATTTCCACTTGTCTTAGCAATATATAACAACATACTTTATTGGGTGGCTACCCGCCACCAGATTTTATCAAATCTGGCTACCCGCTCTTCCTTTTTATCTGCTGCTGCTGCTTCTTCACTAAAACCAAGCAAACACGCAAAATTTCTGCCCAGAGAAAATGGACTTTCTGTGATTTATTATTAGAATATAAAGCCAACAATATAAACACAGGACATGCCAATCTTAATCGGATAAACTCTCTCCAAATTTATCAAAACTTTGTAACTCAAACCCAGTTCTCCCTATGTCAGTCTCTAAATTACCTGGCAGACAGACGGTTGAGTGTAGAAGCAGAATCAGGCATATCAATGTTGTAAAATGACTGAGCAAGACCTAGTTATTACCAATTACAACTGTTCACTTACCCTATAGTAGTCTGTGCTGTACACATCTCTAGACATCCCAAAATCCCCTATCTTCACCAGCAGGTTCTCACCAACCAGACAATTCCGTGTGGCAAGATCCCGATGCACGAAGTGTTGTGATGCCAGGTAAACCATACCAGCTGCAATCTGCTGGGCAATGTGAAGCATCTGTGACTGGGTCAGCTCAGCAGGACGGTTGCCTTCTGCCATCAGTACTGCATCTGGTCCATGTGCCCTGCACCGAAACACAAGCTGATTAAGTAACAGGCCACTTGTAAGCTGGAGAGGCGAAAGGCATTAGTAAGCCTAAACCCATACAAATACTCAAATTTAATAACAAAAGGGCTACAAATTTATTGGTGAAATAGGCGAAAAATTTGTATCTTGGCTTTTTTAATTCCCTGTTTTCTTTCATTGTGTGAAAGTGGTGTGCAGAGCCTTATTCATGGAGATAAGGCAGATGTGTTCATAATAATACACCTCTGTCCGAAACCACCACCCTTCTCCTGTTCCATTCTAGTAATCTTTTCTGGAGAAAGGCTGGCAAATGTAGCTCTGGCAACTGACAAAAACCTTACCACTCTGTAAGAGTGAAAGGCAATAGCGTGAAAAGCATTGAAGTGGCATGGATAGCACCATTTTTCCTATGACCGGGATTCCTTGATTTCTACAAGGAGACAGACCAGTGACCCTTCCATCTTTTCTTAAAGAAGAAAGAGCTAACTTCCTTCTGAGATGCCACCTGAGAAACAAGGGCAGCAATTTTAGATTTACATTTCTAATTTCCTATCCAAATGCACAGCAGGAAACCATTTTTGCTTATTTCATCACCAAGCGTGAGTCCTGCCTGAGGTGGGAATTCTTGACAATGGGAAGAGGACACAAAACACATACTATTTGGAACAACTAAACAGCTTCAGAAATACGAGCTTTTCAAGACCTAGCAAGTCCCTAAGATGCAATAATCATCTGATTAATGAGAATCTTGTGTATACTCTAGCAGAAGGAGAGCCATTTTGCATTTGGAAAGCCCTGAAAAGTAGTGGAAAACATGTGCTTCAACCATCTTAACTATGTTAGCTCTGGTATATATGTGTAACATCCTAGTATCTTGAAGATACAGATATAAACATTCTGACACACATTTCACAGTAAGCATTACTAGCTAATCCTTATCCAATTAATGAGGTCATCTGGCAGTCATTCCTCATTTGATATACCTTATAATATTCTGAATACCCCTTTCCATCCGTTCCATTACTCTGCACTTTCAGAACCCTTTTTTATTCCATACCTGCAGACCATTCTTGCTAAGAGACCACCTATCCTCTTCCCTCCTCAAGTTTTTTTTTAAAATACTCTAGAACTGATTTTTATTTTCTTTCAAAAGTCCTTCCTTCCTACAGAGAAGTTTCAGAGAATCACCTTTTTAACCTGTAGAAGTGAGGCCTTAATTTGTCCCTAGGGGAAGGGCACAGGAGTTTGAAGAAGAATTGCAAATTAATCAAAATCTGTGAGATCAAATCTGACACTACCTATTAGAAATATGATATTAAAATTGCCCCAAGGGAAGAACTTCATGAGCAAAGTGACAGATGTGAGAAAGAAACGAAGGAGGATGTGTAGCCTTGCTGGGACTGAATCTGGTACCAGACAAAGAAGCTCCTCCGCCACGAGGTACTTGCAGGCAGCCATTCAATTGGTCTGGGTTCAGGGAGAATAAATGGGAGGGTATTAAATCTCCAACCAAGACTCACAGGTAAATTCCTATTTAAAAGCACTGTACCTTTTCACTGCATGGATTTTTTTAATGACTGCTCTCAGACATGAAGCTCTGAGTTGCTAAATTACGGAACTCTTCATCTTCTGCTAGCTTCCTTGGGGACATGGTCTGTATCTAATTAAACTTTTGGATTATTCTTAAAACTCCATCCACCTTGCTTGTCCTCTTGGTGTTGGCTGTAAGTGAGGTGCTCCTCAGTGTCTGCAAGAGCCAGACACATTGACAGAGACTCTGGATCCACATGAGGCTCCACTAGCCAGACCAAGCACAGGGCAGGCATGGCTTTGAGGCTTTAGTTCTAGATCTGAAACAGCTTTTGGCTGCATACAGACAGCAAGGCTTATTTGGGTTAAATTTCGGATTCATTTTTCCCCGACAGCCTTTGGTGGCGCTGCAGGGTAAGAAATATAGGCTTTTACACCCTGCTTACAACTAACCTCTGATCTCAGCACAAGTTGCAGCAAGTGTGAGAGGAATGACAAATTGGAGCTTAGGTTTAACAGCTTGTCCCGACATAATAATTTCATATTTTAAAGACAAGGGCTGATTAATAATTTAAAAAAAGATAAGACCTAAAGTAGGAAATATACCGTCTGCTAAACTACCTTTCTGTACAATAACTCAAAAATCAGGGCTACAAGGTAAGAAAAGGCCAATCAAAAAGAATCAAAGAATAAGTATTTCTTATGAAATAAGAAATTATGTCTTATCAGCTGCAAATCTGGCTTCTTCTAACAGAAATTCAATGTTCTGAAAAAGTACTATGATAGCATCTTAGGAAACTGCAGTTCTCTCCTGATCCATGTCCAAGCAGGCAAATAAATGTAAATGGCCCAACATGGCTCTGAAAAGATACTTAAATCCTCTGCCAGAGAGACAATCAATGTGGGAAAAGTAGTAGTGTTTGCTCTGGATCCCCAGTTCAGGCCCCGGTCTCCCTGCCAACCTGGCAGCCCTGCCAACAAGGGAGGATGCTAACTGATGTCATTTGCTTCCACAGTGTGGCTATTTGTTCAGCAGAGATTAGAAAAACAGCAAACTCATTTCACATAGGCTATCAAAAATGCGTAAATGGCAACACTAGAACTCACTAGGCATTTTAGTCAGGTAGAAAATCTGAACCCATCTAAAGGGACATCAGTTTTGATTGGTTTACAGCTTCGTCACAGACATCTTTCCAAAATCCTGGTACCCCTAGTTATCTTGGTCAGGAGACATCTTAGTACATTGAAATGCCTTTGCGATATCCTTTGATGAAAATGACATAGAAAACCTTGAAAGAGCAGTCCCTTATGCAAATGGATTTTTTTACACAGGAGCAAAAGCTGTCTCTTAACTGCTTATTTTTATGTCATCAGGTGCAGGCTAGTGGAAAGGGCACATACACAAGTTCATAACTTCCTGGTTCATGAGTTGTGAACCTTAGGTATCGTCTAGCTATTTATGACTGCTTTACTGCCAATTTCAATTTCCAATGCACATTCCTGAACAGCTTTATGAAATAAAGCCCTAATCCGGACCCCAAGATGTAGCATTTTCCATTGCACTGAAGTTTCCATGGCTCACAGTTTTCTTGCTTCAGATTAATGGCAGTCTTTCCAAAACACTGAGAGGAGGGAAGAGAAAAGGGGTTAGATCTCAAAAGCTCTTAGACGCCTACAGATAGTGATAGGTGTTGAGTGGGATCTTCCCAAGTGCTACCAGAAAGCCTGAAAGAAAATGAATCCTACTGTAAGATTTATAATGAAACATTTCAGAATACACAGAAATATACTGAAAACAATATTTGTTTGCTTCCCATTCCTTTGCTGCAAAGCATAAGGCTTGACTTAATGGTATTTCCAAATAGGCAACAAAACAATGAGACCCACATCCCAGTACAGAAGATGAGAGTTCCACAGATTTGCACTCCTAGGTGTTGGCGTTTTCCAGTGGTAGTAATTAATTTGACACTAAGTACCAGGAACACCTACCTTCTCTGCCCACTTCTGGGTCAGCAGCACAATATGTGTTCATGGATTTACCTGAGGAATTTGTTAAGATCTCCATGCTTCATATACTCAAAGACCATGATGAGCGGATCACCCTCAACACAGACACCATAGAACTTGACAATGTGTTCATGTTGCAGGTTAGTTAGCAGCTCTGCCTCGCGGTGGAAGTCCTTGCGGGCATTGTCGCTGGCATCCTTCAGGGTCTGGTGGAGAAGATGAAAATGTAAGGAAGGGGATACCACGTGGGATGGCACTGTAAGGGTAAGATAAGGACACTCTACTGCATAAAAGGATGAAGTACTTTCTTAATAACTCTTTTAGAAATGCAGATGGGATATTTAAGTGCAATTAAATAATGGCAGTACTATTTTCATTCTCCTGCCACATGTCATCCCAAACAACCATTTTTATTGTAAGAGAATGTAGGAATACTCATGATCTTATGTGCCAAGTGTTTTCCAAAGACAGAACAAATAAACTGATCTTATCCAAAAAATATACTAGTACACGGCTGGTTCATATCCCTTAGCACTTAACTCAAGCAAACCCTAGTATCCTGTTGGTATTTACCTTTCTCATAAATTCTTTAAAATAAAACTCTGCTTACTACAAATACTTAGTGGGAACGTAGATGCATTCTTTGTGTATTACTAATGTCACTGTCACTGATGTTGGCCCCTATGGTGTGCTATACATTAGGTAGATTTATACAAGGGTATAAGTTCTGGTTCCTGAACGAGAACTTACAACCTGAGACTTCAGCCAGAAACTCCCTTGAAATTCAGTAAATCTACTCACGTGCCTAAGATTAAGCATATGTGTAAGTAACTGGAGGATTAATCCTAAATTGATAGACAGAGAGGAAGTAGATGCAGACCAAAATTCTGGAGTGTCAATTTTTCTCACTGCCTTTAATTCACACAGCTCTAAACTCTTGCATATTTTCATTTTGAAGCAAATATACCAACACTGGATCAAATAGGAGGCTTAAAGGTTATATAATGAAATAATGCTAATTGAACTGCCACACATAGGCAGTTTTAGATCTCTTCTTCATAACTACTATTCCTGAGCAAGAAAACACAATTTCATGCACCAAAAAAGGCAAATTCTGACACCAATTAAATGAGGAATAATTATAATTGACAATAAATCACTACTAGGCTCTACTGTCAAAAGGTACAGTCGTTGCACTTTACTAATTCAAACAAAGTTGTTACCAATGTGCACAAATTATTATTCACTGAAACTGATGTCTGGGCTCTGTACCTCTGGATTTTAACTACACCCAGACTTAATACAAACAAAGATGAGAGGCAAAAGTAGCGGCATTGTTTTAACTAAAAATGCTTTTTCCTGGCCATCTAGTCACTTCATTTTCTACCTTGAATTCATATACAGAGCATGGGACTAACCACACTCATCAGAACAGACACACAACAAGTTGATACTGTGCAATCATTCTGCCAATGAACAGTTTTGAGCTGCAGTAGTCATAATTTTTTTCAAGCTTTTTCTTTAACAGAGACAACTCTGTCCACTTTTCTAGTACTATACATAGGCATACGTGAAGAAGGGAGTAAAAGATTGCTGTCAGAGAAAACACTTGATTTACTTGTGAAACTGCAACCACAGGTCTTGAAAAATGAACAGCTACCAAAATAAAGTTTGGATGGGAGGACAAGGAGCAGGGCAGACTGGATAGCCACATACCAAGTTCGGGGGCTTTTCCCTGTGGATTTCAGGCTCTATGGATCCTAGAGGCAACAGAAATCACTCATGCCACAGACATCCCTTCCCTGAGAGACCCACTTAGGAATCTCATGTGTCTTCAGGCCCAGAACCCTTCTTCCATGTTTTACAAATAATGATGCAACAAGGATATAGCATCATCAAATCTTCACAAGCTACGATCTATTAGTACACACAGCTATATCATCTAAGGTGGATATTAAACTGGCTCATCACTATGGTCCCCACACAATCACATCCAAACTGAGCAAGCACTGACACTGGAATGTCTTCCAACACTTCCAGGCTCTGGGATACAGGCACCAACCCACAGCTCAATCTACGCTATATAATGAAAACACTGGGAACAATTCTGTTGTCACTTGAGTTTCCTCTGGTGGTTTCACGTATAAAGCAATTGGATTGTAAATCTTCTCAATAACAGAATTAGAAAAACTATTCATATAAAAAACATTTTTAAATAACAGCAACCTGGAAAAAAATGGACAGGGAGAAGCATAGGCTGATACTCTTTCCAGCAGGCTCTTTCCTTGGAAAGACAGTAAAAATGCTGACAGCTTTGCTCTGTGAGGATGGCATACTGTGTATTTCAGAGGACGCTTTTTATCTCACAGAAACAGCAAAATTATCATATGACAGAGCAGTTGCCATGGCAATTACACATTTTCTGTCAAACAGCAAAATGCAAAACGGCCTAAAACCCAGGTAAAACTCAAGCAGGGTTTCTTCTACCAAGAGGTGACTTGAATTTCTGTCACCCGCCATTGCAAAATCCCCTTTTCTTCATTTTATGCAGCACACAAAATAGACAGAAGGCATGAGTGATAGCTGACACTGTCAGGCAAGGAGGAGACTAGGAAGTGAAAAAATTAACAGGTACGTAGAATATACGCAGAAATTACATTGACTAATGCATTCAGTGTGTTCTCAGTGCAAGAGAAAAAATAAAACCAGAATAAAATCGTAAAAGCACAAAGAGAGAAAAAGACATTATTATTATGATTACTAACAAGTACACCAAAGCTCTGCATACAAAGCACTCTCACCAGTCAACAGGATTTTTTCACAAGTAGGAACTGAGATACAACCACATTTACTTTCCGACCACCCAAGCCAGCAGCTAAGGAGGAGGGATGAGCTTGCTTGGGCAACAGAAGGAATCCTTGGCTGTTACAGGAGCTCCACATCTGCTGAGTTTATCCTTGTGACAGTCAGACTGCCAGCCCATGCTTATTTTCTTCCACAGAGTCCTTGCCCAGGTATCCACAATTCATCTGGTCTCTGTACACCTGTGCTCTGTAGTGAGTGCAAACCCCCGGCTCCTTAGTCCACCCTGACACCACAGAGATGTGTTCACAGGTGAGTCAAAGCAAGAGCAGGGGAATGTGGCTCTCACCAACATCAGTATGACTTGGTAATGAAACTCTCACGACAGCAATGCTTTATACTGTTTCAGTCTTTCGCTATGAAATCCTTACTACTGCTCCCCATCACCATACAAGAGCTGAGTGGTGTATTTCCTCAAGAAATGAGAGGGTGGTTTTGACCCTTCTCTGATCTGAAGACCTGAAGAGCTGGAAACCTTTGGTTTTCTTCTGCAGATGCTGTGGAAATGTTCTTCACCTTACACACACAGAGCAGTCTGCTAGCTGAGGACAACACTGGAGCAGCACACGGTGAACCGCCCTCCAGCCACCCAGGGGAGCCAGAGGCAGCTGCTAATGTCTGCCTTGACAGTCATCCTCACCTCCAGCTCCAGACAGGTTAAACTAGTGCAAGACTACACCTGGGGATCCAGCCCTATGAGGAGACGGTACCAATCCAGGCCTGAACAACCACGGTGGCATGGCAAAATAGCCCACAAGAAAATGCTAACTTTTCCTTTCTCCACACTCTGTTCTCTAAAAGTGTCTGCAGCAAATGGTGTACTGATGTGATGTGCAAACTCACCCAGAAGGAAGGCTAGTACAATGCCCATGCAACCAGCTTAACCTGTGGTTAAGCTATCTGCTCACAGGGTTTGAACTGCAGAAAGCATTTCCAAACACGCAGTGCTCCCCCAAAAAAGCCTGATGGTTGAAATAAATTTACACAGATTGTCTTTCTCCTCTTCCAAGGAGCAACAGCTCAAGCACTTTGGGTTGGTTTTGTACTTTCACAGAGTTTTCTGGCCTTCTTAGCTCCTATATCATTTGCTGCAGCAACATCGGCATTTCGGATACTGGCTAGCCGAAAAGGAGAAGGATGCATGATGAGTCAGGCGGAGTGATCCCCATGGCCAGGGCAAGCTGCGCATATGCCCAGGCATGGGAAGTCAGAGGGGGCCACCAGCCATCCTCATCCACCCCGTGCAGCTGAGGGACCATGCCTCCTTGCTGTTGAAATCCCCCTGGAGCTGCTTTACTGCTAACCAAGTACATACTCCCACTGGGCTCACCAAATCTGTTTCACAGAGTCAGGTGTGAGGATACCCATGAGCTAAGGTTGGTACCATGGCGAAAGATAAAAGCGACAGGCAATTAACCCTTCAGTTATATGGGGATCAATCCAATGGCACATTTTGCAAAACAACTCACTCTTTGATGGCAGCCAGAGTCACATCTTCAAGAGGCAACATGAGAAACATAAAGCGAGCATAAACTGCCCCCAGAGATAATTCTTCTCACAGCTGCCTGCAAGATCCTAATTAAGGACACTAAAAAGAGTGGATGTGGTAAGAAAAAAAATAGTATGACAACTGGTCCAGAAAACTGATAGATTTGTCATCTAAATTCATGGAGACATCTCTCCCTTTAAAGGTTGAATACTCTTCCTTGTGAATTAGAAAGAGCAGCAGAGAGCAAGTGCGGTGCAGCATTTAACAGCAGAAGGGCTAGGCTTCATTTGGTCAGTACTTTCAAAGGGAGCAAGAGAATGGAAACGCTTTTATTTTGCTATCAGGCAGTTCCCTGAAGTGATAGAGGAAAGGCAATTTCCACTCTAAATTCACCAAAATACAATAGAAAATTCATTCAGATCTACTTTTGTCATCTCCTATCTCTTGCTTTCTCCTGTCTACGATATATGCCTTCAGGGTTAATTTTTTTCTCATCAGTCAATGTGAATGAATAACTCCCAAGTATTGAAAAGCTTGTAACCTTGGCAAACCCCAAAAACCTGTTAGTTTTGATGGACAAAGAAAGCACTCTCTAAGTCCATCATCCTTTCATGTCCTCTCACTGCCAGATCCAAAACTCTATTTCTTGTTTCCAAGTTCAAAAAGATGATCTACTCTGTTTCTTTACTGTATGGTTTGATCCAAAATCTACACATGGCTGGTAATTGTGACTGGTCAGATAAAATTTCTCTTTGATCCCTAGGCACAGCCCAAATTCTAAATCTGTGGCCCCTTGCATTTAATGAGATACTTCAAATGCTGAAGACCTTGTTCAGCTTTTGACGGAACACTACA